CTGGCTCGGCGGGCACCAGGAAGGCGAACAGACCGAGCAACACGCAGGCCACGCTACAGACGGCGATGCAGCAGAGGGACAGAGGACGCTTGCCCGTCGAGTGCACCAGCAGAAGCAGGCACAGCGAACCCAGGATTCCAATTCCGGCAGACCCCACCTGATGAATTGCCAAAACATCCGGTTAGCAGTGGTAAGTTTTCGAGTCTTTTCTTACTGGGGATTGTCGTAGGCTTATTTGAATGTCGTGTATTAAAATAGGCTTTCTTTTGCATTCTTTCAAATTTGTCGCTTAAAGTGCACTCCGATTAGACGCTATATGAATGTGCAGTTAAGATACCATCGTTAAAGGAACTAGTAAGCATCGCCATAAATATACTACCTGGCGACGAAGAATACATTACTTTAATATATAAATGAGGATTTATGTGCGGATAGGTTCCATAATCAAGTAAATCAGGTTATTAGAATATAATTGGACGTTTCACAGTGTTATTGTGAGTAAACTAAACTAGCTGTCGAAACCAAAATTGTGTGTGTGTTTTTTTTTTTTTTGGAAAGAGTAACTTCAAAAGTTATTTTCCTTCCTCTGAAACTGTGAAGATACGAGAACGTGCTCTCAAACAAGGCTTTGGAGAGGATTTGATTCTTCAACAAGATGGACCATCTCCGCACTACCACAACGCACAGGTTGTCGAAGGCCAAGGGACTGGCCTCCCAGATCACCTGACCTGACGCTTCTTGAATTTCTCTCATGGAACTGCATTTAATATGAACTTTGTATTCTTTCACTGACAAACAAACTTCAAGAACTCGAAGATATGATTGGTCAAGATTTGGAATCCATTGGAACATTACGCAACGCATGGGACGAGTTCGCGTCTCCTTAAGATGTGGTCAGTGATCAGAGTGTGGAGCCCGCATTGAAAACAGAATTGAGTTACTATTTCCAAAATTTGATCTTGGTTTATGTTTCTCGAGTTTACTCACAATATTTTTTTTTAAAAAAATATTAGGCACTTATGCGGTAACCCTGCACATGTTAACGATCGTCAACTCAGGCAGACGGAACGGAAAATCGTGACGTAGTCCGACGTCGCGTTCTAGAACTATGGAGTAGTTCGGAACTCACCGTGGCCCACATGGGATCGATGGGAACTTTGAAGCCCTCGAACACGTGCACCATATAGGGTCTGATCGCTGTCATTGCTGTCCAGTGGACAAAGAAGAAAAACGGGACGACGAGCGACAGGGGTCTCAGAGTCGGGGGGCGTAGCACATCCCGTGCTAGTCCCAAACACTTCCAGCGTCGCTTTGCTGTCACGTGCTCCCTGTGTGTCCAGTCAAGGAGTGTGTTGGCTTCTGGTCGTTCTTCTTCATCCGGCGTCCTCAGTTCGATCTCCTTCTTGGCCTCTTCGCTATAGCGGACAAGCTGAGAGAATTCTTCTTTAACGGCGTTAGGTTTCACCCAGCCTCTCAACCAGCACAACGCGTTCTGTGCATCTCGCTTCCTACCCTTCGACAGCAGCCAGATTGGAGATTCTGGTACCTTTAAATGAAATCATTCGTCGCACTGCTTATTCTATCCATCACTTTGGAAATAGGACCGACGTTTTGAACACAACTAGTACCAAAGCCCGCCACAGGTGACGACGTCTTATGTCATGCACCCATCTTATTCTCGTTATATTTATTTATCATTTTCTGGAAGGTTTCCCAACCGAAATGTTTTTTTTAAAGAAAATACATGATAAATGATAAGTAATTGACATGTGACAGTAACCAAATGACGGTAACTGCCATATAAAGTCATTTGTTGGCGAAATGGAATATTGGTATTGGCGCTTGAAGAAAGTTTGTGGGGTGTTACTAAACATCATGCCCTGTGAAAGAGAGACACTGTAACAGATATAAAGCAGTTGTGTGAGGACCAACCTGGCTGAAGTACAGAACAGTGATTACTGGTAAGACCGCGTTCATGATCACAACTGTTCGCCAGTTGGTCACTTTGCCCAGAAGGTACTCCAGGAAAAATCCTGTTTGGTAGGTTGTACCTGAGAACAACACAAAAGTAAGTCACAATGCTGTCTATCCTGCGCTGATTGACGCTGGAAATTCGCAGTTTCCTTTTCGATATGATGAGGTTAATAGAACTTACTGAAATGTAAAACAAATAATAGCAAGGTAACCGGGCAGATATAGACAAATTATATTCAGTCCTGCTTTAAAGTTGAACAACACGCAGTTGTAAAGAACAGACTGGCAACGCCAAATTGGGATTGAGACCGGTTCCTGATAGAATTTCAGATATCCGTAAAGGAAAACTACATGCCAATCAAACACGTTCTTGTTCAATTCTTACCATCTCCTCCTGTCAGTATGCCCTCAATTATTTCCCGCTTTTCCTTCCAGTATGCCCCTCAATTATTGCCCGCTTTTCCTTCCAGTATGCCCCTCAATTATTGCCCGCTTTTCCTTCCAGTATGCCCCTCAATTATTGCCCGCTTTTCCTTCCAGTATGCCCCTCAATTATTGCCCGCTTTTCCTTCCAGTATGCCCCTCAATTATTGCCCGCTTTTCCTTCCAGTATGCCCCTCAATTCTTACCCGCTGTTCCCGCCAGTATGCCCCGTAGCTCCGGCTGGCTGATCTCGCCGTAATACGTGTTGAGAGGAGCCTCGCAAAGTCCAATGGTGACGCCCAGGATGACTTGCGCTACCGCAAGCTGCTCGAAGGAATGCGCCGTGTACATCAGCAGCCAGCCCACCAGGAAGGGTACGTTGACGAGCATGAGCGACCGCTTTCTTCCCATCAGCTGCACCAATAGCCCCGACACCACGCTGCCCACTGGCTGGCAGATGAATGGGATGCTGGCTACAGCGGAATCAAAGGATTCATCGTGTCAGAAGTTGACCCTTAGTTGCAACAGGCCAAATGCACAGTGCAGTAAGATTAACTTGGAGTACGTGTTGCACAGGACAAGATTTAAGACTGCGAAGTTAACGAACTGCATCTCATGGTGACTGTGGTAAGAGGGTCTGAAACATGGCGAGGTTGGATCACTGTGCGTGAAGACGGAGAATTATTTGTTTTTTCTTGTTTGTGTAACAACTCCTTATGAGGTTTACATATTTATAGAATGGATAAAGGGAGGATGATTATGCATGGCGAATGAGGAAGTGCATTTAAGGAAGAGGTCATGTATTATTGAAAGTGCTGTTCCAGCGTTAAGGAAAACATCGATCATGATAGTCGGGTTCAAGGTCCGGATTTGCTTACTGCAAAACAGAAATAATGACCACAATTACTCGAGATCAGTACGGTGATAATGATGAAGGACTTCGGTCCACGGAATGCTGCAACTATCTGATCTTACCAATCCAGGAAGCTTGGACGTCGTCCAGGGAGAGGTCATGTGGTTGTGCCTCTGCGCGATGCATCTGGGCGATAGCCACGGTCGAGAACGCAAGGGTTACGATGACTTCCAGCCCCACCATGTTGCACGCCATGGTGGCTAGCACCTGTCACAGCATTAGAAAAACACATTTTCATTGCGTGCAGAATTTTGGTTTGGAAAACCTAGGCTTAAATGGAGGGATAATATTAAAATGGATCTTGGGAAAAAGGGATAGGAATATTAAAATGGATCTTGGGGAAATGGGATAGGGTGTGTGGATTGGATTCATCCGGTTCAGGATATGGACCAGTGGCGGGCTTTTGTGAGCACGGTGATGGACCTTGCGGTTTCATAAAAGGCGGGGATATCTTGAGAATCTGAGTTTACTGTTGGATCCGTAAAGGGGGCTGTGCTCCGTGGAGTTAGTTGAGATATTAATGAGATGTATGTAAGATTAACCCTTTTCTTAGATGTCGGCAGATGGATGTTGTGTCGAGCTCCTCTGTATGCGTTCAATTGATGTTTGTTATGATGATAATATTACTAAGTTCTCAATGTGATGAAACGTGAAGATGTTTGTCTTCCGGGGCATTACGCTGCGTAGTCTGGTAGAAATTAACTGACATTTTAGATGCGAAATGATCGCCATCGCCCTGATGATGGAGGCACTGATCACCTCTGAAACGTCGGTTAATTTCTGCGAGCCCACACGGCACGTATTCCGGAAGACAGCCATCGTAACAAATGCTGGTCTTCGTTACATAATTCTCCGCATTACCATTCCTTAGAAGTAACAGCATTATAATCAAAATATAAATCAATCAATTCTATGTGTGGTTATCTGTTATTACGCCAAGGTCTCGATGTGGTGAGTAATATAACAAAAACCGGTTGCATTCTACGTCTTTATTTCCATTACATATACAAAATATGTTGGGTGTAGCACTGAATGCTTGGCAGAGAGGAAGTATTATAATTGGAAAAAATACTTTAAAAGGAGCGTCATACTTGTACACTTCCCCTGTTATATGGCACAAGGCTCTTCGAATCAGGAAGGACAGGCTGGCAGGGACGTATCAGCCCATTATTCATTGTTATTTATTTATTATCAAGTAATTAGTTCGTTGGTTTATCAGTAATTGGTTGCTTAGGAAGATTTTGAACTGTGTATCCTTGAATTATGCGGCTGGAACTCATTTGGTTAGGTTACGTTACATTACGTATGAGCCGGGATATCTTAGTCAGTATAGTGACTAGCTACGGGCTGGACGACCGGGGTTCGATCCCCGACGGGGGCAGAGGATTTTTCCTGTAGCCTCTGCGTCCAGACCGGCTCTGGGGCCCACCCAGCCTCCTCTACAATGGGTACCGGGGTCCTTTCCCGGGGGTAAAGCCGGCCGGGGCGTGATGCTGACCACTCACCCCCATCTAGAGCCGAGGTCAAGGAAGAGAGGAGCTATACCTCCACTCACCCCAAACGCCTACATGGCGTATAGTGGGACAAACTTTACTTTACGTTACATTACGTTAGGTTAGGGTAGGTTAGGTTAGGTTAGGTTAGGAATTTTTTGTCTACGACTATCCGAAAGTCTACGGGATTCTCACGAAAGAACCCCGCAGATAAAGACAATTGCAAAACCGTGTATATCACCGTGGAGATTGGTCATCGAGAATTCCAAACACAACCGCAAGTAAGAAACATTCCAGCGACGTGATGTCAATGCGTCTAGAGAGCCAGGTCGCAACACGGCGAACGTGACTTTCCTGACAAGCCGAAAGGAGGCACTTCCGCTCTTCACAGCGTGGAACATCGCTTTCCCAAAATGATGAGCATTTGCTTTACTCGACAACTGAACTCCGAAGCAACTGATAGTTACTCAGCTGCTCAAGATATTCCCTGACTTTCATGGAACCCAGGAATTCATTACCGTATTTACAACAACCCACAATCAGTTCCTCTCCCGAGCCAGATGAATCCAGTCCGCCGTCCCAAATCGTGTTTTTCCATAGACCCATTTTAATATTATCCTCCATCGGCGTATATGGCTTCAGACTGGCCTTTCACCATAAAGCTTTCAAAACAAAATACTATCTCCTCCATGCACGCTACATGTCCCGACCTTCTCATACTCCTTGACTTCATCGCCGTCATGATATCTGGTGTAGTGTACGAACTACGGAACTCCTCATTGTGCAGTTTTCTCCAGCGCCATTAGCGAAGGAGACAAGTCTGGAGTCCCATAATTGGCACCGAGCCCGCAGGAAGTACTACTGACCTGCCACCCAATGGCATTGCTGTGGATGACGTCACCGATCTGAAGTAAGATCCTATCCACACCTGTACGCTTCAGTGTACCTCAGAAGGAGGCGAAATACGTCAGAAATTAAGATAACTATCTGAATATTCATCGGCGCTAAGCACCTCTGAAACGTCAGTCAATTTCTACAAGTTACGACGCAGTATTCCACGAAGCAGCCATCTTCATGCTCTTCGCCATGAGAACCTCAAATCTCACCGACCTCATGTATTTTCCACGTGTTCCTGAAGACGAAGTAATTAGATACCATAGAAAATATGCACGTTAATATACGTTATGACCAGATGCGACGATTATAACCGTGACTAGTCGCTACTGTATTGCATTTCGCCCCTCACACACCGAGACACGCAACATCCAAGGATCTCTGCTGTCGTCACCACCGAATCCAGTCACCAGATCACCGCCACCTCGTCTTATTACTAAAACAGAAGACGCTGTCGGAGAGAACACCCTGAAAATAGAAGCGACATGTTCCTCTGAAATTTTAGTGACTACATGGCACATTCAGAACACTATTATCGAATTTTCCACGCCTGTTAGAAAAATCTACGTGAATGTCTAAATGTTGTCAGTCTTTGTTAGGTCTGTGACAGGCCGAGAGGTAAATTCTTTTGCAGTCCTGTTTATTATGTGAATTCGTTAATTCAACAGACCGATTGAGTTTAATGAAGCCACTGATGATGTTCCGCTATCACACGGTCGTAACACTGGAGACAGTCTTGTGTAGTCTAACTGCATCTACCAGAGACTTGAGGTGTAAAGTCGCAGTAGACTCGTACGTTCTCTTAGAATGCATAGAATATTAGTCAATACGTGGGAATGTTGCAGGATTTATTCAAATTCGATTTGTGAATTTAAAGTTGTCTTGAAAATTCAGTTTTGTTTAACATTGGTAAAGGACGTATCGCCTGATTTACGTGGTATATGTTCTATATAGTCTACGCATTTAGGTGATAAATAGTCGTTTAGTAAATCCATAAACACGACAACTAAGGAGAACAAAGGCTGCTTTGACAATTTGTTACCAGTCCAAGGCTATGAATGTTGGAGTAATCGCCAAATATTCTGACTTACTTACTCAATTAACCCGAGTCCTTTCTGAGAAGCCAACAGTAGTTCAGCCACTCGAGAAATTTACAACATTTTATGGAACCCGAATGTTCGTTACCGTGTTCACAAGAGCCAGCCAGTGGTCCATATCCTGAGCCACATAAATCCAGTCCGAAATTCTCTAAGATCCATTTTAATATTGTCCTCTCGCCGTGTTTCTTCCTAGTGGTCTCTTTCCCCTCTGGTTTTCCCACAAAAACCCAGTGTGCTAATCATTCTGAGAACACTGATTTGACGTAGCAAACACGGAAAGTCGTGTGACAGGAATTCTTACCCGATCTTCGTATTGCTCTGTTTTCGACGAATTACGCTTGGAAGGCCATTGGCTTTTCAAGTGGAGAATAATTTCTAATTGTTTTTGTTCCAGTAAGGATGTCTAAAATTTAATTTGTTAACAACTCGTTACCAGGAGGTCATAGAATTTCGTATCTTTTTCAGACGCCTTTAATTTTTAAACTTTGTTTGGGCAATGCAGATAGCGAATCGATCGAACAAGTGGTTATTTACCTGAGGTAGAACTTCCCTGAAGCGCGTGACGGTCTTATGTTGTTTATGGTCGTTTGTCACCGGGTTGTCCATTCCTGCCACGATCTCTGGTTTCTTGCCAGACGCCATCATCCCCTCCATTTCATGTCCGTCTTTCCTGCAAAGTTATCGTCATTAACTTAACAAGAGTGTGACAAAATGGCACATCTTCACTTCCATGAGAAAGGATATACTTTGCAAAGTCAATTATGTGACAGGTTTCAATTACAGCGTGTGTTCAATTGAAGTCTGTAACGACAGTGTTTTGTTCTAAAGGCATCCCACAATTCTCTTGTAATTACTAAGGAGTCGCAGTTCGTATGGTATTCACTTCGTGTTTTCATGGATAGAATTCGGAAATTCCAACCACTTCACCGTAAATTATGTGTCTGTTCATGCTGTCAGGTGGATGGAAGGCAGGTTAAATTTTAGAGGTATGGTCCAGACTGTCTGACAACAGGATCCGCAAGGTGATACCTTGCCAGCATTTAAATGAACTGGTGATAGGATTATGTTTCAGCTGGCCCTGAACGAGTTAGAGAAACAGACTAGTTCTTGAGGAAGTGAATGTCACTCAGCCGGTCGAGAAATAACTCTCCTTTGATCTAACCCGAGATTTCGTTGCCTTTCTCGTAAGAGCCCGCCGTTGGTCGTAAATATAATTAATTTATGAAAACAGGGCCGGAAAAATAATATATTTTTTTCAGTTAATTTTATTACCAAGTCTCGTCAGTTTTAAAATTCTGAGCTTGTAATTGCAAACGATGTTCGACCTTTGTATTCCACCCCGCGAAGGTAGAATTTTCTTAACAGTTGGCACACTTGTGAAGAATTTTGGAGACCCCTGAATAAGAGTAAGACGGGTTTAGGTGGAGTCGGTCACAGGCGAATTGGCTTCCAAGGTAAACAGCTTCTCAATTTTTGTGGTGATCACACAGATAAAGCGGCTTTTGTTCACAGTTTTAATATAAAAATTGCAATACATGGAAAGAATTGTTCCTGGAGCCGTCAACTGAAGTTTAAAAATTGAATTCTTAGGTGTTTCGTCAGCAGAGGACGACGCCGAAGACCCCTGAGCTATATCGCGAAAGTCCCACATCGGACCCAGACTGACTTACTTACCAGCTGGCAAACAGCGCATGAGTTAGTCGAGCACACACACACAAAATCAGCTGAAAAATTCTTTGGGAACAGTACCCAAAGATCAACACTGCACAGAACAAAATCTTTCATATTCTTTACCAAATCTTTTGCGTTTCTAAGTCTTGAAAGTACTCACGACATTTTTTAACCAAAATTATAAATATATTTTATGTTTCCACCGTGCCTTCTTTCTGCCTAACCCATTTATATATACCTGTGTATGGAATGCGTAGCCCCTTAGGTCATCACCTTTAAAAGCAATGCCGGTCATTGGAAACGATACTTAGGCAGTTCAGTCCACTTCCTATCATCACAACTCACTTCTTAGTTATCCACCTTCGTATTGGTCCATTACCTTCTTGATCTTCCAATTAACTGTTTTCCAAGATGTTTCCCCACCGAAATTAAGTCTGCATCCCTTGTGTCCTCTATCCTAGCCACATGTCCAGCCCATCGTATCATTCCGTACACAACTGGTTAGCTTCCAAGTTTCACTCATTTCTCTCTGAATATGGAGGCGGTGCGTTCATAACCATGAGCAATTCTACAATTTCACACAACCGAGAAAGCTAACTACAGTCTATCAATCAGTCTTGCCTCTATAAGGGTACCACGACATCTTCCTCTCCAATTCCCTCTATTCATCATTCACAGTCATGTTAAAATATCTGTCTTGGCCATACATAACCTCAGTAGTTAATTCGGCGTTATAAAATACACGAGTGTCCTGTTCGCCGCGCTCGTGCGGTTACGTCTCTGGCATATGTGTAAGGAGTGACGTCTATCCAAGGGTAGCAGGCGCACGAAGCAATTCGTTATAATAACACAGATCATACGGTCAATGGTTAGACTGAATCTCGCTGTTGACACGCCTTTCGTCATAGGCCCACAGAGACAGTCGACTGTTCACTGCTCGCTTTTCCTCTATAGTTATTTGAAAAGAAAATTCGAAGTGACTGCCCCTGTTTCTAGACACAAGTCGAAGTTTTTGCATGGAAATAGCGGAATTATTTTTCCTCTAAACATGTTATCGGTATTGCTCCAAAGATTTTGGTTGTTCATGTACACTTACCATTTCAGCGTACCCCGCAAATAAAAGTCGCAGGTATTTAAATCGGGTGATAGCCGTTTTTTCCTGGATCTCGTCTTTGTACTGCCACTTATTGTTAGACCTAAAGGTCCGCGTATCTGTCACCCTGCATGGAAAGTTCCTGGACGTGCCCAGCACATACCGTCGCGTAATCCACATTTCACGAAAATAAATTGTAGCAAGAATTTCGACATGCATAAACTTCGTCATTTTTATAATCTTTGCTGAAGTATCGTAGTAGTTGGTACAACCGACGCAGCAGTTTCGAGGAAATTTAAAAATTTGGAATGAAAATCGTAAGAAAGCCGTCTGGATGCACCGTCTCAGTATCGGTATATTTTTTCAGGATATTGGTAAGATTTTCGTTACTCTGCTCATAACTTTACGCTTTGAAGTACCTGGTTTACTCATTATTTAATAATTCAGTCCGTACCGCGAAGAAAACACTACACTTCACCATTACAAAGATAAACTGATCAACGCTGTTTATAGCGAGAATCATAAGAAACACCTAAATACGTACACTCTGTGGGCAAAACGCAGTTCCTGGATGTTATATCAGGTGACACATATACTTAAAGTTTAAAACACTTTACATTAAAGCTCCACTACTTACGTCATTGTGGTCTCAGCATCCGCTTAAGACTGCAGTCTGGAAACAAGTGAGCTGTGTCAAGGCTGGCGGTGGTCACACGCTGTCCGGCCTTGAAAATAGACCACTATCAGCTATTTTTATATTTTCAGGGGGAGTGGAGACATTCGGTGTCAAAATCTAAACTTTTCCGTGTATTTCAATTAAATTTATTCGTGATATCCATACTATGAGCACGATTTGACTTACGGGTGTGTTTCGGGAGTGCGTCAATGTTCCGTTTATATTTCCATAGACTCAAAAAGAAATTCGAAACTGGAAACTTGTTTATGGATTCTTATCTGAAAGTGCTTTTTTTTTTTTGGAATAATTTTATTATTGCTTTGAAAAAATGACAGATAAGCCGAAAAGTAAGCCATTCGGCGGGCGAGTTGATAAGCTAATTGTGGTGTTAAGTAACGAAAGTCTCTCAATACCACAGTGCTTTCCCGTTTATTGGTGTTCTGTTTATTCAGCGGTTTAAGACGTTTAAAACTACATTATACTTATAAAGGCACATTTTATAGAGTCTCCCACAAATGTATCATCCTGAAAAACAAATTACAGAATGTACGCACAACTTAATAGTTCCGTCGCGTTCGCTAATATTTGAGGGTTTTTTTTTTGTGAGTGGCCGGTGAATTTCCCTAGCTGCGTTGCGATCCTTTGAGAATATGTCTGCGAGATAAACGTAAATTCACAATCTCATTTAGCGGGTTTTAAACATTACAAGACTGTGAAGGTAATTTCGACTTTTACACTGGCGTTGAAGTCTCCGTCTGTCACGGTTTAAAAAAGTTCGCTTACCATCGTGATGTCGGGAACCCATCAAATTATTTAAATTCAGTTGCTTGCCATAAAACCTCTTCCCCTTTTAAAATATTCTGCTGTTATCGAGAATCAAGCTGTTGGTGTTGTGATTGGCCTTCTGAAATCTCAACCGTACGAAGCTGCACATTACAATCTTGCATTAAAATTTTTAACGTTACTGGGATCATCTGTGCGCGAACGTGAGGCGATAGGATTATTATAGTCGACGCAGTATTTTTTGGCCGGTAAATTTTCAAAGGGAAGGCTAGGAGCGAGTCTCTTTTGCGATAGTATAATGCTGACTGCACCTAGGAGCTTATCGGACTGAACGCCCAAACAAAAGAAATACACTGACCGTGCCACCTTAGGTACACGGACTAGGCCCGTCCGCCAGCTCCGCTAGCTTGGAATTTTCAAGGGAAAGGCTAGGAGCGAGTCTCTTGTGCGATAGTATAATGCTGACTGAACGCCCAAACAAAAGAAATACGCTGACCGTGCCACCTTAGGTACACAGACTAGGTCCGTCCGCCAGCTTCTCCACCGGCCAGAAACTACCACGCCGACTATATCATGTGCCCGGTTACCCTGAGGAGTAGCCATTGCACAACGCTGGCAGGCGGCAGAAGTGAAATGCCGAGCGGACCGCAGACTCGTTTCGTGGAATGAACTTTGATATTTTACACTTCTTGGTTCTAGGTTGAATGTGATGTGTCCTATAAAAGTAATAAATCTGGATGGTGATTATCAAAATATATTATGGATTCGATATTGGAAGTGGGCATATCGTTATCGAATCGTTTTATCGGTTAGAAAATTTTTTAACTGCACCAGCATCTAATGAAGTCAGTATGACCTCTGAAACGTTGGTTAACATCGACCAGACTACACAGCGCAATAACCCATAAGACGGATATCTTCAAGTCTTAACTCTTTGAAGTTTGAGCTTGTATAAATAATATTTAAGAAATCAGACCGTACCGCGAAGAAAACACAACGCCTCACCATTACAAAGATCAACCGGTTAACGCTGTTTAAAGAAATAATCGCTGTTTACAGTGAGAATCACGCGAAACGCTTGTATACAAAATTAAGATTTATCGATTTTTGAAGCAGATCGGACCATTAAGCTTTAATTGGTTAAAAACCTATTTTACCACTAATTGTGTTATATATTTAAGGTGACGTGTGGAAGTCAAATTTTTTACGTAATTTTTTGTACTTCTATTTTACTTTAGTGTTCCTAGGACAGTTTGTTTGCTTGGACAGTTGTTGTTGTTCTTGAAACCTAGTAATTTGTGTTTTATCATGATCTGTCTTTAAACGTTTGGTTCACGGTTTGACCCTAAAACCTAACCCAACACAAGGCTATAGGCACGAGTAAACTTGGCGATTATATCGTGACATGAAAACCGATTTTTTTTTTTTCATGGATGCTGCCTTGCGCTGGCACTGAAAGTCTGATAAATTATCAGTCCACAAGGTTGCCATCTTACTTCCTGTAAATATGTAACACTTGCTCGAACAGTGAGTAACTTTGAATTTTGTATTCATAGTTTTCTTGTGATTCCTAGAACAAACAGCATCAAGCGATATCTGTAATGGTGAAGTGTGGTGTTTTCTTTGCGGTACGGACTGAATTATTAAATAATATTTAGACGATCTTTGGCTTTGAAGGGCTAAACACACAATAACACGCCATTATGGAATCATACTTTCGCAAATTTTGCGATCACAGTTTGCTGCACACCCTGTAACAAGAAAATTCGCGTCCTACACTTTCCTAATCGCGGTATTTTCGTCGACACTTAGAGCGATTCAAGCTGACCGTCTCAACTCGTAGAATCGTGATGAGTAATGCAATTTAACCTTGTCCTTGATATTTCGTATGGTGACGTATTTCATATGATGTGAGGGCCATGTTTCACTTGTGGTAAACCTACGGGACTTTCAGTCAACACAGGAATCATTGTTTAATTGAACGAGTGTGATGTTTTAGGCATTTAGCGATATCCAATGATAAATCACCTTGGCCCTCCTTCAGAGGTAACGGCTGGCCTAATTAATTTTTGACAGTAATCGTTTCAGATTTGTAAATAAAATTATATTTTGTGGTTGATTTCCATATCTTAGAGTTCACACCAAATTTTGTGAACGCCGTTAACCTCGTAAGCTTATGTTCCCCCCTTTTTTTCTATAAGGAAGGATTAGGCAACAAATCGTAAACTTTTAATTAATATTCTAGACTCTTAGCATCTAAATACGTGTTACATTATGAAATGGAGGACTGGCGTTCGATTTCTTGCAAAAAAGTATTTTTATTTTAGCCACAACATCCTGATATCTTCATCTAGCGATAAATTGACATTTATAACCAACAGGACGAGTTCGTATTGTGTTGTTGGAATTCCCGAAGATCTCTCCAGGTATAGAACTTCGTTCTGCTTATGACGTCGTAGTTGCCAACGGTACTGCCATCTGCTGTGTTCGCCCGCCACCTTGCATACACTTGTTTACAGTAATGGCCGCTAGGTGGCACGCGCGTTGTGTTGGTTCTTAGATCCCGCAAGTGAAGAACGTTGTAATGTTCTTAATAGCTCAAAAATTGGAAGCAAGCGTTAGAATCGTACTTCACAGGATCATTTCTGTAGTATGTTTTCTCACACTTGACATTTAACAGTCGAGTTGGTTGCAACCACGATGATGAGTTATAGCAACTTCCTCTGAGCGTGAGGCAGATTCGAAGACGCCGCAAGGTGTTTGAGAATCATCGATGATCGTTCGGATTCAGGCAACTGAATTTGAGGAGGGAGTTGCGTTCCGAGTGGTTCTTCTTTTATTCTTTTTTATTTATATCTTCATATAGTTTTTAAATGGGAGTTTGCAGTCTGGGATTAATCGGAAGGTTCTTGATTTGAAAACTGTCACGTTTATCGACTCTCATTTACTTGTAAATGTTTGCATAAGAAATTATATTTTTTTGTATTTTGCATAGTAAAGGATATTATGCATTTATTGTTCTCGCGTCACAAGATTTTGTTACGTCGGCCTAAAGGGGAAAATTTAATCCTGCCTGAACACAAATTGCTTGATGTGTGGTATAAGAAACTACTTATTAATATTTAATACGGATGACAAAAGGTCTATCAAGGTTCGATTCTCGATAAGGGTATATTGTCCTAGTTGTATCATCCTGAACAGCTGTACGGTCCAGCTTGCTTTCCAGAAGGGCCCATTTCCCCGCGGTAAAGCGGCCGTGGCTGATCACATTGCCCCTCCATCTACTCTTAGTTCTTCCGAGTAGTGTCTTCTCTTCAGGGTTTCCAACTAACATTCTGCAAGCATTTCTCATCTCTTGTATGTGTACTACCTGTCCCGTCTATCTCATCCTCCTAATAGTATTTGGTTTGAAAAGGAGCGAAAAGTTTAAATTATGCTCAGAAATAAATTAATTACAAAATTTCATATTTTTTATTGATTGTCCTTGTTAACATCACTACGATCGTATTCCGTACATTGTGATGAATTAGTATAACTGAAAACGAGAATACTCGGGGATAAGACGGAAGGCAGGATTTACAGGAAGTTATTCCTAGTGTTGCCTGGATCCGGAAGAAGACCTTTAAACAAAATTTAAAAAGTCGGACGAAGGCAGTAGAGAGCGGCTCTGAATAGTCTATCAGTGCTTCCTGTCGCTCACCGCCATTTCCTGGGGATCGCCAAGGTCACACTGTTCGGCGCGCGCTGAGGCCCTTCGTAAAGTGATTCTCGATCTCCTCCAGGGACTTCCCCTCCGTCTCCAGCAGCCGGAAGTAGAGAAACACGACGCCGACGCAGCTGATGGCACCGTAGAACCAGAAGGCGCCGTGCAACTGGAAGGAACGCTCGATGTCGATGAACGTCTTGGAGCTGAGGAAGAGGAACACGTAGCAGCCAGCAGCAGAGACGCCCCCCGACAGACCACGCGTTCTACAACACGTAACATAGAGCCAGTTACAGGAATACCTTAATGGCACTGGGCCTTCCGAGGATAGTTAAGGATATGAGAAAACCTCTTTATGCCTACCTGAAGGGGAAGACCTCAGAAAGTAGCATCCAGGGCATCTGTCCCACGATGCCGTTGCAGAAGGACAGTAGGATGAAGAGCAGGAGTGGAGCCCAGGTGGCGCTAAGTGGCTCCCCTGGTTTCTGGGGCGCTACCTCCACAAGGGCGTACACAGCGAGCAGGAGGGCCGCCAAGGCGCTCCCCATGGTGCAAAACAGCGACAAGGGACGTTTCCCTATCCGCTGGACCGTGCACATCATGAACACCGTGCTCACGACACCGCATCCACCGGACACCACCTGAAACACGGGATGGTCAACACTGTGCCCACGTGGTCTACGAGGAGTGAGCGAGGACGCAAGCACTCACTGTGGCCCACTCGCCGCTGATGGGCATCTGGTATTCCTTGAATACGTGCACCATGAAAGGCCTGATTGAGGTTAGCCCAGAGAAGTGGACGAAGAAGAAGAATGGGATGACGAGCAGGAGGGGACGGAGCGTGGGGGGGCGCACCAGGTCCCGGATCCGGTCCAACATCTCCGAACGTCCCCCGCAGCAAGTGCTGCCACCTGTCGTCTCGGTCTCTGAAACAGAACAAAATTCATCGACGCGATTTATTGAAGTGTCTCGTGTATTTCAAGGTTAATTTCAACGCATTTGCCTTGGTGGGATTAGAGAAAACTAGACAGGAGACTATGTGGGCCCCAGCTCCTGTTTGGATGCTGTGTACAAGAGATAATTCTCCTTCCCCTGCTGTTGCCAGCCTGTTATCATATCGCTAAGCTGACTTACTGGGCCTTCGTGATTTTACCTGCAACAACCATCGGTTTTCTCTTTGGTTCTATCTCCGGCTCCCCTACGAACACCGGGTTATCGAAGGCTGCACTCGTCTCTCTGATCTGCTGGCTTCCGGATGCGTTCGTCAGCAGAAGCATGGTCTCCTGGTGATAGCGGATCAGCTCAGTTAGCTCCTGTTTGACGACGCTCGGCTCCACCCATCCTCGAAGCCAGCAAAGGGCTACTTGAGCATCCTCTATCCGCCCCTTGGAGATCAGCCATATTGGGGCCTCGGGCACCTACGTAATAGCACGGGACAGAACCGATCATCGTACGGTCATACAGAAGTTTTGAATATGAATTGTACTTTATCATCGGCTTATTTATTTATGATTTATCTGACGAAGCTCTCAGTAGTTCGCGTTATGTAGGGTGATAGCTATGGAGATTAACGAATAGTGACGGAGTGTTAACGTGTCGGTCGCGACGAGACTACGTTGTCCATTTGTAAACCACTGGCGATAATATGCTAAATACGCCTACTACCATATGAATATGGGATCTTGAAACACCCTGTATTTATTCCGATAATGATTAACCCTGCGGCCGGGCTGTCCTAACTAACGTCTTAGTGATTTCTTCCTCTTTAAATATAAATTTTACATTAGTCTTTTTTATCTAGGCCACTATTACATTCAACATCTGTCATCTGCCCATCTCATTCTATGCCGCTACGAATAGTGACGGAGTGTTAACGTGTCGGTCGCGACGAGACTACGTTGTCCATTTGTAAACCACTGGCGATAATATGCTAAATACGCCTACTACCATATGAATATGGGATCTTGAAACACCCTGTATTTATTCCGATAATGATTAACCCTGCGGCCGGGCTGTCCTAACTAACGTCTTAGTGATTTCTTCCTCTTTAAATATAAATTTTACATTAGTCTTTTTTATCTAGGCCACTATTACATTCAACATCTGTCATCATTTCCCCATCTCATTCTATGCCGCTGACAAACTCGGAACTTAATACAGCGTCAATAAATGACCAAGAGTGAATCTACCAGAGCAATATAGATGGCGGTGAAGATGGGGATGGATGCGCTAATGCCAGCAGCGGTCCTCCAGTCTGTCAGACTGCCGAAGAGGTACTCGAGGAAGAAGCCGCATTGGTAAAACACTCCTGCAACAGAATAATGGGCGTTCAACTCCACTTATTCTAGATCTCTTCACTTCTTGGGTGTGCTGCCTCCAGGGAAATAGCGTTCAATACCCAGGCCCAAAAACCATTTACGTTCTTCCTTGATCTGAAGAAATTAATTGATTTTATGAAACCCTAAAGGTTAACTGCCTCTTTCAAGAAATGCCCGTTACTGAGTCTCGCTCACAGACTCTTTATTCCAGAGCGTCCAGTTAGATCCTGTTTCTTTAAAATTACCCTCGCATCTCCGTCTAGGTCTCCAAATGTTCTCTCCCCTTCAGGTTTCCTCCCTCGTGCTTACGTCACGCACCTGCACAGGCTGTCATTACGCCCCTGATCTCTGGCTGGCACACTTCGCCGATGTAGCTGTTGATGGGCGCCTCGGTGAGTCCGATAGTGACGCCGACCACGACGCTGGCGACACAGAGCACCGCGTAGTTTGGCGCCGTGCACATGAGCAACCAGCCCAACAGGAAGGGCACGTTGAGTAGCATCATAAAGCGCTTTCGACCTAACCATTCCACTAGCATTCCAGAGCTCAGGCTACCGAACGGCTGGCAGATGTACGCGATGCTTCCTGAAACAGAGAGGAGCATCGGGAGTCACTGCATCTATCGCCGCCGACTTGCAGGGGGTCAAGAGTCACTCACCTAGCCATGAGGCCTGTACGTCGTCCAGACTTAAAGGACCTTCTTTCTGGTGTAGCTGAGCGATGAGGATGGTTGGGTACGCAAGGGACAAGTTGAGATCCAGCAGCACGAAGTTGCAGGCAACACTAGCCAGTACCTGCAACAGCGACCGTCAGCGTTACAGGCGGCAAGAGAGATCCGAAGACAAGGTACACATGGAAAGAAAGGACTGAGAACTCCATCCCGCAGTCGATGGAAATGGTAAAAGGAAGGTGAAATGATGTGCAGTGAGGCTGGAAACCGTGAGATTTTGGATGTTCGCGTCGATGAAAATTTTTTAGACTGCTGAAGTTTTAGAGAAAATTATTGCTTCTACCTCGGAAACATTGGGAATTGAATTGAATTGAATTGAATTGAATTACTTCAGTTCTTGCGTAGTGAGCAGAATGTGATAAAGGAAGAAATAATCAGAGAAAGTGTTCAATTTTTTTTTAAATATAATAATACATACTCGTAAACCCAGCATGTGATGACACTGACCTGAGGAAGCACTTCTCGGAAGCGGCTGATGTTTTTCACTTGTCTCTGAGATTCTGCTGCCGCCATGTTGGTACCTGTGTTACCCCGCTCCATCGCGAGGGGGAGTAAGTTTTACCTGCAACAGAACGCGGTAGCTCGTTTAGACTCAGCCACGACTTACTGTAATAAAGCTGTCCCGCTACACGCCATGTAGGCGCTTGGGCGGAGAGGTAATATAGCTCCTACTCATTCTTAACCTCGCCACCAGGTGGGGGTGAGTGGTTAGAGTCACGCCCCGGCCGTGTTTTACCTTCGGGGAAAGGACCTCGTTGTCCATTGGATAGGAGATTTGGTGGGCCCCTGAGACGCAGAGGCGACAGGAAAATATCAGAAGAGTCATTCTAAAACCGACAGGTTATCTGCATTCTACAACTTGTCGGGGTGAGTGGGCGTTGTTAAATGGCGTTGTTAAATGGCGATAAGCTGATAATGAAGGAATTCCGTGCCCCGTGTATGGTCTAATCTGGGCTTAAAATGGGTTGGCAAAATGTATCACCGATTACGTCCCATAAGGTAAGCACATGGCCACAAATTCACGTAAAGTAGGAAAGCTGACCAGTTGTTCTTTGTAATGGCGTTGTGTTGTGTTTTCTATGCGGTACGTACTGAATTCTTAAATATTATTTATAAATGACAACTCATTGCGAAATAAACGCAGACTGATAATCTTGGGCTTTCTAGGTGACGTCATTAAAAGTAACATCCTGCAAGACCCGTAGCCTATCTGATCCCTGAAGCTTCTGCTAAAATTAAATCTCATTTTCTTCGACACGTGCAGGCTGACCACACAAACTAGTCACTTTACGTATTACATACGACACAGCCTTGGGTATATAACGCACGTTCTTACGCGAACACGACTTTGTAACATTGTTTCGAAACCTTGTTTGGATGTTTCCTAGAGGTTTGTTAATTTTCCTTGCCAAGAATAACCTCAGGCGACGATGTAGGAGGAACTTGTCCGTAGTTTTCTGCTGGGGAATTCCCAGATATGCGGTGGATGCAAGTGGAACACTGAGACAACTCTCAGCTTGTGATTTAGCTCAAGAAGGGTCCATAACATGAACGAATTTATTAAAAAAGATTTACAAGTGATATTTGTTGCGCTTTTTTTTTTAAAAAAATTATTAAGTATTGTTATTGCTGTTTAAGAACCTCCTCGTACAAGTGATATTTGTTGCGCTTTTTTTAAAAAAAATATTAGTTATTGTTATTGATGTTTAAGAACCTCCTCTCATGTTATATAAACCGAAAGTTCATTACCGCGTTAACAAAACTTCGCCACTGGATTCCAACCAACCTTGGGCCCTTCGGGCCCTCATCGGTATCTGGTGGAATTTATATATTTTCAACTCTCCAATAGTAATCTAATCCTCGTAAGGTGTCCCAATTCTCGGTCCTAATTAAATGCGCTTTAATAATTGTGTCTGCTAATAAGGTCAACTTAATTGATTTGGTGTAATCAGATGTACAAACAGACAGGTGTTACCCGCTATTCTTACGTCACGAGACTGAAATTGTGAGATCACACCTCGAGCTGTCTTAACCTTCAAGCATTAAGCATATCTACCGTTACCAGAAACGAGGCTCTGTCAATCGAGTCACGGAGGAGTCTCTTGTAAAATTTTAAATTTTCGGTGTTTATTTAAATCGGTGTCAGCAGTTGCAAATAAGCGAATAGGCGAATAGATTTTGCGCTGTGTACATGATCACCAAACGCCCTTCTGCATTGACGCACAAATGGGATAATTTTCCGATATCTGTATTACTTTTTTCTGGTTTTGTTTATTTGATTACAGAGAGAGCAAATGGAACACTGAAATTAATATTGTGAAAGGCAAAAACCAGTGAGACGTCATATTTGATGACGTCACAGCACGGGCTAGTCCATAATTTCATTGCGGCAATGTGCGCGAGGTCGTAGAGGAAAGTCACGCACGAAATGCACAACCCTGAAGGTCGGGAGATTCTTTTGTGAGGGGAGATTTTGTTTTGATTGAGGAAGTACAGGACAGATACGAAATGGCTCAAAGTTTTGGGTGACGAAAACCGGATCAGCAGAAGGAAACGAATAGGAAGAGAGGAGTGAGGATGAAGGAAATAAAAGAGAGACATGAAAAGTAGGTGGGTAAGGAAGTGAATTAATTACGTTGTTAAAAAATATTTTCTCGAACAAATTTGAAAATTTTTAAGCCCCACGAATGGTTCGATATTCTCCATTATTAAATGTAATTAAAATCACTTTACTTTGAGAATCATAGTTCGTCTGATTAATATTTAAGAATTCAGTCCGTACCGCAAAGAAAACACAACGCCTCACCATTACAAAGATCAACTGGTTAACGCTGTTTAAGGAAATGATCGCTGTTTATACTGAGAATCATAGTTCGTCTGATTAATATTTAAGAATTCAGTCCGTACCGCAAAGAAAACACAACGCCTCACCATTACAAAGATCAACTGGTTAACGCTGTTTAAGGAGATAATCGCTGCTTAAACTGAGGATCGTAGGCAGAATTCTGATTTGCTGAATGTTAATTGATGCCAGTTCCACTTTATTTTAATGATTAATATATTTATAATGATTAATGTCGTATTAAAAGTAAGCAAAGAATAATGATTTCTAAACATTACTTGAGCTTTCTTCCAGTTCGATGATTCCAAATAGATTACTGTTGGTTAACCGGATTATTGTCCCTTCTTCATAAGAAAACTTTGCTATCTCACGTAAGAAGAGCCGATCGTTTCGCTCCGACGTGTTCTCGCAGACTAACAACCGGTATGGCAGTTGTTTTGCCTGAGGAACCAGTTAATAAATTCTGTGAGAGTCGAAACAAAAATGGTTTAACTCACATTTCGAGATCGCGTCTGTCCTCAAGCGAATTCTATTGAAGTACTCTTGAAAACATAAACAACGCAATCTCGCAAACTAGCAAAATGGCGTAAGTGACGCGCGGTATATTTTCTGAAAATCGACGCTTCTTAGCTCAGAAATAATAATCTGATCATTATTACTACGGACACAAATACGCCTTGGTGTATTTTGTTAGAGTGGTCTATATTTAATTTTTAGTGTTCGCGGTAAAATGTAGCTGTAACCCCTTCAATCAATTGTACGGTTCATTTTAAGAGGTTCAAAGTGCACAAAACCAGATTCGAAACAAAAAAAACACACAGTCCGAATAAAACTACAGTATTCAGTGTTTCGATCAACAATATAAAAGGATTTCCTTTGCATTTATTGGTAAAGAAATCATAATTACAGTAAAACTGTTTAGATATTACAATATTAAAGTAGTGATAAAGGCATTTAACACTTTAGACAAACACCCGTGTCCCAAACGACTCTTAACTGATCGTTACAACAAAAGTAGTTTATAAACTTTAAGACTTCACAATTACGCTGCCTGCCACATTGAACGCGCAGCCAACACTTTCAAAGTACAAAACAAGGAACTTACACAATCCGTCCTTGATAACAATGAAACATCTGGTTACTCCTAGCACGTTCCGTTTACGAGACACTCGTATGGCAAAGAAAATATATTAAAAATTCTAAACACTTCAATAAGTACATGTAATTTTATAAAACTAAGACACTGACCTTATTTCGACGCCTATAATACAATATTTGAACTTTGATTGTAATCGGTCTCGCTAGATGTCAGTAGAAACGATGTAATTTAAACAGTTGAGGTCACACGTCCGCCTGTCCTTCACGTTATTAGCACGTAAGTTATTGATTTGCACATTAAAATATACAGGATCTGATGATATTAATAAATATATTGCAAAACTTCTGTGTGATACTCCACCTAATTATATGACGATGTAGTTAAACGCCTGTGTAAAGTAAAGTTTGTTTTTTAAATACTTGCAGAATTGAAAACTTATTCATAACCTGAACAAAACACAATTAATATTATCATAGCTTGAGGCTCTTGTTTTCCTTACGTAATAACATGAAACAAAGAAACTTGTTTTTCCGTGGGTTACGATTCGAATGGCTGATAATGATGGAACAATACATGATCACTACTCGGTGCAAGAGTGGCGCATCGCGGACAGAAACCGACATTGTAAATGAAAACTGTTTATAAGTGCAAACCGTCTTCGTACTTTTCAAAATGGCGTGTAGGCTGAGGTGGGCAATACAAATCTCGTGGTGAATTTCGTTTTCACAAACGAGGCACTGGTACGACAGGATCATTACGAACTAGCGATTCCAGTACGTACGCTGTAAAGGAAATACCAACCTTTGGGTCAACCGAGATAGGAAGACTTCGATGAACCAATAGCGCTTTTCAGTCCTTGCCAACTCCTCATTCCTGAACCGTTACCTGCACCATAAGCCACTCTTCCACCCACACGATATAACCCACGTTTACGAACTCGTTCTACTCGGCCCTGAAGCTGTAACTAACCTCAGCGTTGCACTATTGTTGCGTATTTTAGCGTTCCTTGCACGAACCTCAAAGCAGTTGAAATGTCGTTGTTAAATATGGTAAGAATCAGCCAGTCACTTGCAGTTTATCGTATCATATTAGCCCCTACATAACGTGCGCTATCAATAAACTTAAATATTATGAGTCATCGCCCTGATTACATAAATTTCATTGAAAATCTTCAAGGAAAGAAATCATTCTCTCTAGAATGAGAAAATAACTCCTTATAGGACCGTCCATGTCTCTCTGTCTCATTTTCAGTGTGAATCAAAGTCGTTATTGGGTCACACATCTGCAACAATGACCTCACATCACATTATTGCAACAGGGATCTTAGATACCATTGTTACCTTTGGTATCATTGGTTCATTTGTTATTCCCTTGGTTGCCCTGCTGATTTCATAATGTGGCGTGAGGAATACCGCTGGTTTTTCAGTGGTAGAACTTCCAGTAATCTCGCCTCTGCCCTCCTAATAAGATTTAGAAATCTGTTCATATCTTCAGTGTCCTCAGAATTACTGTCTTTCCTAGGTCTTGTGTCGTACTCCACAGAACTTGATTTGAGTCTTGGGGTACATGCTCAGACCCACGTTGCAACATCAGTTTGGATGTAAACGTCACTCGAGTAATGTATTCTTACATTCATGTTAACTACAAACATTTTTCATTCTCACATGAATTTCCACGAGGTTCCCTAATTCCAGAAAATCAACATTATAAGTGTTTTGTAGAATTCCTTTTACCTTTTACAGGCAAGATTCCACTTGTGGCCATGTCTTTTTCAAGTTCCTCGTGGTATTTGGAAATGTCCAGAGGATGCATGGCATCTGCAGCTAACAAAGCAGCTGGAAATTCAGAAGTTCAGAAATTGGTTGAATTATTCCTGGCGTGCTTAATTAAGCATTACGGTGTATGGAATTAGATGTATAGCTCCACACATTCACAACCTTGTCACCAGGTAGAGGTTACTGGTTAATTTAACATTGTAATTACTCTACCCCCAAAGTAAGAACTCTGGTACCCATTGGATAGAAGGATGGATGTTGTCATGGAAAGATAAATCCTGACCTACTGGGGATCAAACCCTGGCCAGTAAGCCAAAAGCTAGTCAATCATTCTGACTCTAAACTATCTTCCCCTGAGTTTCCTCTGCGGAGTAAGTTGTATAGAATTTCTTATATACAGCAGCAGTTCCCAGTTTGGTCATAAGTTTTCCTATGTCTTGAAACATAAGTAATGTACAAAAGATTGTATAGTAAATAGAAGATAATGTGAAGCTATGAATTTGCATATCTCATGCCATTAACATTACAATGTATAAACTCTGCAAAAAAGAAAATAGACAGTGGTTTTAAATACATATTCATTGGTGTACAGTGTGCAAAATATAGAGCTCAGCAAATAAGTGGAAAACAAATTGTGTCAGCTACTTATTAGGGTCCATAGTGAAGGTGAAGGGTAGCTTGCCCTTACTGAACCTGATCTTGATGGAAAACTTCCATCTGAATATGCATTGAGCAATATTGCAGTCAAACAACAGTGTAGTTTAGCAAACCATGATGAGCAATAGCTCATTGATAGATCAACTGGTTTCAATCGTAGGCAGAGGACAGTCAAACAACAGTGTAGTTTAGCAAATCATGATGAGCAATATCTCATTGATAGATCAACTGGGTTCAATCGTAGGCAGAGGCTTTTAAAGTCTTCTGCATTGTAACTGGAAAGGGAAAAATTTAATAATTTACACTTCACATTGGTTTGTCTGAAGTTTGTCAGAAAAAAATGGCTGCTTTGAAGAGTTAAATTCGTAGAATGACTTATTTTTACGTAATTTATAATGAAATCCGTAAACTCTCATGTAAATCGAAATTTGTATGTGCCCTTCCTTTTCGTTATATTTTCTGAGCTCAAATCTAATTTGTTTGTTGCCGTATAGAATGCAGAACTGTAGTGCACATTGACTTGGCCACGAGCATCAAACTCCAAGGCTGCTTCTCTTTATTATAATCTGTGGTGATGGGCGCCCATGAGTTTAATAATCTGTGATATCCACTAATATTGAAAATGGCTGCTTTAGTTAGTGATCTTGTTGAAGAGGAGGCTGCAGACTTGCAATTCCCTAAAGGTAATTATAGGAGTATAAAAGCTGCTAAGTGTTGAGAGAATTAAAATGAGTGATATTTGTGTATGCACGACAAAACTGTATTTATCATAAGCCGGTGTAAGTAATAATGATAATTCATGTTGCACAGTGAACGGTCGTAATGCCAGTAAACAGTAAAATACTAATTTCTTGTGATAAAGAATAATGATAATTCGTAATTTCAGAGTGAACAAAGTTGTGCCAGTAAACGGTACACAGATAATTTTTTGTGTTTTGTTTTTCAAACAAGATGAATAGCTGCATTTGATACATCTTGTTTGCAGACTGGCTGTGTGTGGTGGGGCAGGACACCACTATGACATCTTCTGTGTGTTATGTATGTTCTTCAATCCTGCGTGAACCATTCATATGTTGTGCCGATTGTAGTATTGCTGTGGAGATTTGTTCATCGTGCTTTGCAATTGGTGCTGAGCTTGACCCTCATAAAAACTGTCATCAATACATTGTTGTGAAAAGTGAGTTCCCTTTATATGAGGGATCAACATGGACAGCAAATGAAGAACTTGAATTACTGGATGCGTTATTCAAATGTGGGTTTGGAAATTGGAATGATATTTCTCATTATGTGCATACTCGATCAGCACAAGAATGTGAGAAACATTATGTAACATTCTACATTGATAACCCTGCACCTGAGCTGCCAAAATTTAACAATGACATCCATACAATAACCTCAGAACCACCCTTTGATTATCGACCTTTGGAAACAGAGCTACCCCCTCGTTATTTGCCTGGTTCTAGTAGCTATCGAGCTCTTGGTGGGTATAATGCGGCAAGAGGTGACTTTGATGTTGAATATGATAACTATGCAGAGACAACCGTCTCACAACTTGATGTCAGTACATTTGAACCAGATGACCCATATTATGAGATTGGAACTGCTCTACAGACAGCGATAGTGAGCATGTACAATGTGCGCCTGAAGGAGAGAGAAAGACGAAAACGCGTGGTCCGAGACCACGGTATAATTGCTGTTCGGAAGATTTTCTCATGGCTGCACCGTTTCGAAACCACTGTGACACGAACGATTGCCGAACGACTGCTGTTATTTATGCAGTTGATGTCTGGTATTGATTTTGATTATATAATGGAAGGATTGCATCATGCAGGCAAGCTGAAGCAGTACATTCTTCGCCTACAAGGACTCCGGGAGAATGGCATCACTCGTTTTCACAGCTGCCGTTTATTTCAGAAACTGCTTCGTATCAGAGAGTCACATCGCAAAGAACGACGACTGTTACATTCTTCTGCCTGCTGGCGTACTGTCAACAATTCAGTGCCATCCCTCAGCCCAGCTGTTAAAACATTTCCTAGTGTTATGAGACGGCCTCCTCCGCCACTTGACATAGTTGGTCTGCCAGGCTATGAACGGCTGTCACCAGAAGAACGTCAACTCTGCTCTGCCACAAGGCTTGTTCCTGAGTCATACTTGGAGTTTCAGCGGATTCTTGTAGCAGAATGTAAACGTAACTCAGGCCTGAAACTAGCCGAGGCAAGAACACTCATCAAGATTGATGTGAACAAAACAAGGAAGGTGTATGATTTCC